TGTGTGTGTGTGTGTGATGACAGAGTCATGCAAAGTTTTACATTTCTGGATAAGGTTTAATGACCTTGTTTGGCCAAACCCTTTTCACAGAACGATACTGCACTGATTAATTTTAAGCGACAGTCACCTGTTTGCGCTAAAACAAAGCTGTCTGATGGGGAAATTAAGTTGTAATCTTTTGTAGCGGTCTGACAAGATAGCATTATGTAAATCTGAACAGAACATTTGGTTCGTGAATTAACTGCGAGCTTATGAGTTAATAACAGATTTGTTAGTTTTCGTATCAAGGTCTACGTGACAGCGTGCAGTATGCCTACGTGGTGCATGTGTTGGACGGTTTCCTTTAGACTGGAAGGAGGGAATCGGGTCAACATGCTCAGTGGGCTGTTCCCCCATAGTAAATAAGCTTGTGTACTCATAGTACATTTACTGATTCAGAATAGAGCAGAGTTCAAACTCTCACCTGAGTGGAACCACTACTCACCAGATAGATGGATCAGATGTTTGCCCTTTGTCAAGAACGACTGTCAACAGCTATATACTAAACATGCGATTACTTAAGTTGCCTACATGATCGCATAGATATGCTAGTACAAAAACAAGAAGTACGTAACTGATGTGTTGTAAGCATTTCAGTTGTGTCTGCTGCCCTGTTAAACAAGTGCAAACAGTATGTCTGTCCTTCACCCAAAAACATTTTTCAAATGCTATAATCGCAAGTGCTCAAGATCCATTAAATTTAGCCCCGTTAACCGCAGGATCCCATTACATTTTCAATTCAATTATACTTCCACATGTTCCTTTGTTTAAATACTTCCACCCCCACACCCAGTTACACTTACACACACACACACACACACACACACACACACACACACAAACACACAAACAAACAAATCATGTCGGCTGTTATTTATGTTTTGTTGGCCTTGGTTATTTTGCACTTGTTTCCTGTAAATAGAATCTGTTTGCATAATAATAATAAAAAAATTCAATTAAATTTAACAGCAGCAGTTGAAAAACTCTGTAAGTTCTTAAGCAGATGAGGACGAAACCTTGGGAGGAACAGAGAGTAGACTGGGGAAGCCTTTCTCCTAGGGCTGGCTCATATTTAAACCAATTTATGACAAAGCAAACATATAATCATAGATCCATTTGTAATGCTCAGGAGTGGAAAATAAACAATTATATTGTTGGGCTGGGAGATTACCTGAAATCCATTGTGAATGAAGTTAACATTATCCAAGTGAAAGTACCAAAACTCAAAGCTTTGGAATGTGCCCTTTAGCTGTTTAGAAGTGAATCATCTTTCACATTCAGATTGTTTTTGACACTTTCTTTCAAATCCTCAGGCAAACACAACAGAAAAGCACCAACTGCATCAACTGTAGTGAAGGAGTGATTTTTTTATTGGTTTTGAATATTTTCTAATTAAATATTTTGCGATTGTTGTTGTTCTAGAGCTATAAAGCATGCAGTGTTCTCTCATTTCTCTCATCTCTCAATTATTAACACATAGGGAAAACATATTGACTTTGTACAAATAAGATAATTTGTCATTTCATTTGTTTCAGATGATTCAATGTTCTTATACAGCTCTTTAGTAATTTTAAATGATTGAATAACAACGTGCATCAAAAAATCTATAGAATTAGAACAGTATTTCAGCTTGAATGTAGTGTACACAAATGTAATTTGAATAGGAACATTCATTGACTTAAATGGAAAGCTCACCTTCAGTTGCTGGTCCCCATTGACTTCCATTGTATGGAAAAAAACGTCTCAGGTTACTTATGTAACCATGGTTCCCTGAGTAGGGAACGAGACACTGCGTCCTCTAGGGGTCGCTATGGGGAACGCCTAACTCAATGGGGACCAGCAACTGAAGGTGAACTATCCCTTTAAGGTGAATCACACTTGAAGGTCTTTAGATTTGTTTTCTTTGTGCACATTATGACCTAGAAGAACTGCTGTTTTAAGGTCTTTTCTAAATCTGTATAGGTCAGATGTACTAGTTTTGCTCATGAAAGTTTTCCTATACACAGAATTTCACATTATGTAACATTAATAGATATAGTTAATACACACTACTAGTGCTAGGGAAGAAATCAAAGGGCTGATCTATGTTAAATGTATATTTTCTTCTATAGGTCTAATACATCTAGTTATTTTAGGCCTATAGAAAATGACTTTGACATCTTAAAATGGATTAACAGTGATTTACAGTTTAAAAGTGAAGGAAATGAAAGAAACTCTTAAACTTCAACACCAACCAATTCGTCAACACCATCTTAAATCTTTCAAGGTTTTGGGCATAGTAAGTTCAGTCACTGCTCCTCAGTCAAGAATTGAGGTGACCCGGGGATTATTATGTTTAGCTACAAACATCTAATCATCTTTAATCATTACTGGAATAATGTTTCATCCGTTTCTGTCTTTACAACTTCAGGTTTGGATTTAGCCTCACAAACTGAAGATGGCATTCAGTGCCATAAAGCACAGGAAGCTCATGCAAACACAGATCCTTTTTATTTAATTTTTGTCTGGTTGAGAGGACAATACGCCATGTGGAAATTCTGCCCTATAGTGGCTTATACTCAGCAGTGCTTTGCACAACATCTGTGTGGCAATGTGTGGGAGAGAGATAACGTCTGGGGAGAGGCAGCTTTTCTGAGGAGGGTACAGAAGCGTGAGGCAGACAGGAAACTCCCTACGGCCATCCTTCCTCCTCTACAACTGGGCCCCAGTGAGGCTCTTCTCATCCTTCAACACCATGCACACATGATTTCATACAATCATCACAGTACAAGGCAGGACTGTAGAGACAGAGTCCTCAAACATTTTATTTTTCTTCTCCACAGATGTTTACAAGGATTTCTTCTGAACCGTCTTAATTTACAGACATTATTCAAAATGTAATTTCTTATTTTTGTTAAATACTGTTTTAAGACATTCATGATGAAAGCTTGAAAATCTCCCACTGATCAATAAATCCAGCATTCAAAATCTAACCCACAGTGATAGGCAATGTAGTTCTGTTGTGAGGTCTTTTATCATTTATTTAACCACCTATAGCCAATAACAGGAAAGAGCTGAAGCTGACCTAAGAGCTAAAGAACATGGTCGCATAAAGAAAGGAGAAAAGAGAAGCCTTGAAATGGCAGACAGGCAGAGAGGCACGTGGTTGTATGAAAATAAACTGGGGCTGCTCAACAATGAATGTGACGATTTGGACACAAAAATAATATAATATTTTTTTATAATATTATTAATTATAATAATTATAATTGGCCGTAATCATTAAACTACTTAACTATTGCCTCTTCTGTCCACCTTTAATTAAAGGATCATTATCATAACCGAAATGCTAGCAACGAAAGTGAGCATGCTAAAAATGCATATATAAAATAAATGCATAAATTAGGGGAAGAATGTACATATTTTTTCAAAGCACTGTATATATGTACAAACTGAGCTGACTCACCTTAGTATTTCTCTTTATTTGAGTAAAAATGTAAAAGAAAAAACTTTTTTATTCTTCTCTGCCTTCCCCATTTCTCTCTTACAGTCTCTCTAGAGTCTAGACACTTCAGCAGCAGGATGTTATGACAGATAAAATGAATCCCAGATGAAGCGTGGCAGAGATTAAGCAGCAAGTCTTGGTGGAATAGCAGCATTTTCAAAATAATGAAAATGTTAAAGTGGCTGCTTTAAATTGACTCATCAGACAGACATCCTTATGCCCTCCCCTGACACAACATGAAGTTATGTGGTTGAAACGTTCTAATCCATCCTTTGAGACTCGGGATTAAGCTCAAGGGCCAATTTTATCCTCTTTCACATAATTTGTAGCAATACATTGCTGTGTGAATGCTTGTTGATGTGTTGCATTTTACTTATATAATTTTTTCCCTCACTCTTATTTATTTCTGCTGTTAGCTGTAAATACAGAGTAGCTCATCTTCATTTCACATTTTGACTTCACCTTTAGAGCTCACCATTTTAAGAGATGAACCCTCTTTTATTTCCACTGATGCAAAAAAGGATTGCATTGCATTTTCTTTCATGAAAATGCTCTTTAATATTTTGATGACTGTTGATGGATCATGCGAATCACAGAAATGATGAGGTGGTGACAGAAACATTCAATCAATTATACCAACAGAGCAGATTAAATAATTTAGTGAGCGTCAAAATGTTGGCTGTAGTTCATGTATCAGCCAGGAGAGGGCAGAAGCACAAAAGCTTACTCTTTGATCAAACGAAGTTAAGGCGAAATGATGTACCATCTGTCCATCTGTTTACTTGTCAGTTGAATTTCTTCAAGAGTGATATGATCTTTTCAAGCTTCCTCAAAAAAATAGTTTTCTTTCTTTCTTTCTTTCTTTCTTTCTTTCTTTCTTTCTTTCTTTCTTTCTTTCTTTCTTATTCTATTCTCCCACTTTCTTTCTTTCTTTCTTTCTTTCTTTCTTTCTTTCTTTCTTTTCTGTCTTCCTGTCTTTTTTTCTCACAAACACAGCTGTACAGACCCACAAGCAGCAATATCTGTCCTTTGATGGCACAATGCTTCTTCAGCAAAGAACAACAGAGATGCTAATTGATAACATTTGTAGATAATTACAGCAATTATTTCTAAAGTTCTCTTGAGCAATAATTGAGGCTTGTTGTAGATTCACGACCTTTATAGACAATAGCACTGGGCGGGATAGCTATTTACAATGCATTCATATCAATTACTTAAATGCACTAATAAAAAAAATGGACAGTCTACAAGCTTTGAACGGCTTGATATGATGGAAATCATTAGGCTGCTGGATTTACATGAATGAACTAACAAAGCTGTTTTAATCAACTTCCCAATTCATTTCAGAGCTGAATATGTTGGAAATGTGATTTTATT